CTAGGACTACCGTTACGGATTCACCAAAAATTGGATAAATAATTATCTTGTTTTTATTAATCTTTCTTACATGAATGTATAGTTTGTTTATTTCAATGTTTAATATTAGAAGTGGGTGTTAATTTGAAGTTTAATGATTTTCTTTTGACCAGAAATATGTATAGGAACTTAACTCTTGTTTGTATCAATTATACTGTGGTAAAATTGGTTTTGTTATATATCGTTGTGCTTAAAGTCACAGCTTCCAAGAACCTAATAATGACATTTAGTGAAGACTTATGGTACATAAAAATGGTTAGGTGTACCTCGGAACCCTGAATCTAGTTTAAGCGCTCTTTTAGTAGATGAAGGCTCTCTTTTCTTTCTAATCAGTGTGCTTTTCTTTGATTTCTTGTAACACAGTATAGCTTCTTTTCTTCATTTCTCGTATTTGAATTTTGATGTATGTACACTCCTCCTCTGTTTCAGACCCTGGTGAACCTCTGCAGTCAGTCTCCATGTAAAAACAAAGGTACTTGCGTTCAGGAAAAAGCAGAGTCCCGGTGCCTGTGTCCATCTGGATGGGCTGGTGCTTATTGTGACGTGCCCAATGTCTCTTGTGACATAGCGGCCTCCAGCAGAGGTAAGCTTTGCTCCCTTGGGCTCAGGTCATTCACTGAAATATTGACTGACCAGTGGCATTTAGAGCAGGTATTTTTGTGGGATAAGAGAGAAGAGCAGATAGTAGTGGGTTAGCAGGGCTCTGGGGCAAGGGCTCAAGACAGAAGGTGTAAGGTAGAGGAATAGGTTCCGAGATTCTGAGAAGAAACGTATTTGAGATGGAACTAAGGCATATTTTATTTTGAGGGTTTATTTATTTTTAATATGCGTCTGGTGCTGAGGGTGTGAAGAAATAGATAAGAATAAGATTTGATGCATCATTCAGTTTAGATTTATTTGCTCATTGGTTGGTCTGAACCCTGTATGTGTCACGTGTTCTTCTATGACATTTCTTCCTCACTGGGTTTCCCAGGCGTGCCTGTTGAACACTTGTGCCAGCACTCAGGTGTCTGCATCAACGCTGGCAACACGCATTACTGTCAATGTCCCCTGGGCTATACTGGGAGCTACTGCGAGGAGCAGCTCAATGAGTGTGCGTCCAACCCCTGCCATCACGGGGCAACGTGCAGTGACTTCATTGGTGGATACAGATGTGAGGTGAGGACACTGAGCAGGCAGAGGCCATGGACCTCCCCGGAGATTGTACAACTGTCTTGAGCCTGGTATATTGAATTTAGCTGCTTGCGTCATATATTTATCGTTTATAGATGTTTTCAATCCCCATCATAGTGTTTACCACTGTTCCTTTCAGCCTCTCATGGCCCTAGTAAGATATTTTTATAGGCTTCTGGAACCATCCCAGCTCCTTATGGTTGCTTTTAAGATTTAGAGCCAACAGTCACTACCAGGATGAATTCTACAGGCCCACCCAACATAGCAGTCTACAATTCCCTGAATAGCAGCTGAGATAGGAAAAACTGCTTTGTGGAATGTCCCTTTGGCCCCTGTCACCTTTGTATGTAATTATTAATCAGTCAACTTGCAGTTCTCTCTCAAAAAAAATGTTGCTCATCCTGTTCCCCATAGCATCATGCTAAATGTTACATGTATATATTTGAGGAAGTATGTGTCATCAAGGGACATGTCACTGTTTTAATGCCTGGGCTGACATGGCCCCAATAA